GTTGTTTGTGCTACATTTTTGCTGCTGCTGCTGCTGCTACATTTGCTGCTGCTGCTGCTGCTGCTGCTGCTGTATGTGCTGCAGCACAAGAGACGATTAACGACGTCTTTATTGAATTTTGTGTTAGGAGATGCATTGGCGGTGTTTCCTCCTCCTTTAACTCCTAAAGGAAAAAGAGGAAAAATTTATTTTGCTCAGCAGGTCTGAATTAGGGTTTAGGGTTTAGGGTTTAGGGTTTAGGGTTTAATTGAGGGTTTATGTATATAACAGAAAAGGTTTAATTTAATAATATATTTAATAAAAGGGTTTAGGGTTTAGGGTTTGTATATAAACAGTTGTATGGATATCCAAAGAAAGGGAATTAGGGTTTAGGGTTTAGGGTTTAGGGTTTAGGGTTTATAGTTGTATAAGGGTGAATATTGAATATTTTTTTTTGTTTTTTTTTTCTGTTTATTGAATAATATATATAATAAAGAATAAATAATCCTTTATATTGTTTTTTTTTCTTTTTTTTCCTCTTATTTAGGTATCTATACAGCCTCCATCAATAGTATTATTTTGTAATAAAAAAGAATATTTTTCTGATGTTTATCGTCGTTATATTGACTATGCAATAAGAGGAGCATTTAAGCATTATGGATCCTCTATTAGGTAATTTATTTTATTTATTTATTTATTTATATTTATTTATTTATTTATTTATTTATTTTATTTATTTATTTATTTTTATTGCTTGCTTTTTATTCCGTCTTTTTCCCCATTTTTTTTTTTATCTTTTCTCCTCTTTTTTTTACTCTTTTGTTGCTGCTTATACACCACAATATTTTATTTTATTTATTTATTTTATTTATTTATTTTATTTATTTATTTTATTTATTTATTTAATTTATTTAATTTATTTTATTATTTATTTATTTATTTATTTATTTTATTTATGCAGATGGATATATAGAGACAAAAAGCTGCGCAGCATGAAACAATTCATGAAGCAAAAGAAGAACGATGCCCCAGACTAATGCATGCAGCAGCAGCAGCAACTGCAGCAGCAGCAGCAACTGCAGCAGCAGCAGCAGCAGCAGAAGCAACTGCAACAGCAGCGCAAGCAAGGCGTGTAAAAGTAGGCGGTCTTAGAATTTGTAGACCGTTTTTGCATGCAGAGGTGCTGTGTCTGCTGCTGCTGCTGCAGTAGCAGCAGCAGCAGCAGCAGCAGCAGCAGCAGCAGCAGCAGCAGCGGCAGCTGGTGCTGCTGCTGTGTGGTGGTGGCCGTTGGCTTGTTTTGCGTCTAATCCAATTTAAGAAATAAAATTTTTATTTTAATATTGGCAGCAGCAGCAGCAGCAGCAGCAGCACAGCTGCTGCTGCAGCAGCTAGCTGCCTCTAGTAACTTCGTCTATAAATATATTTATTTATTATTTATTATTTATTATTTATATTTATATTTATATTTATATTTATATTTATATTTATATTTATATTTGTATTTATATTTATATTTATATTTATATTTATTTATATACCAACTAGCGCCCCAAGACAGCAGCAACAGCAACAGCAGCAGCAGCAGCAGCAGCAGCAGGTTATCTTATACTGTAGCAACAAAATAAATAAAAAATAAAATAATAAAAAGAAATAAATAATAAATATAATTTATAATTATAAACAAATAAATAAATAAATAAATAAATAAATAATAATTGGGGGGTGGGGGGTACTGGTGTTAGACAAAGACGACTATCAATAGCAGCAGCAGCAGCAGCAGCAGCAGCAGCAGCAAACAGCAGCAACAGCAGCAGCAGTAGTAGTAGTAGTAGTAGTGGTAGTAGTAGTAATAATATAATCACTAGCAACAATAGCAGAAGAACTAGCAACAGCAGCAGCAGCAGCAGCAACAGCAGCAGCAACAGCAGCAACAGCAGCAACCGCAGCAGAAGCCCTAAACACAACCCCTGGGGCCCATGCATGCATGCATGCATGCATGTATTTATTTATTTATTCTATTCTTTTTCTTTGCCTTTTATTTTCTTTTTATTATTTAATTTATTTTTAATCCTTTATTGCTAAACAGCAACAGCAGCAACAGCAGCAACAGCAGCAACAGCAGCAGCAAACAAGACCCTAGATCTACTTATACACCCTAAGCCCCAAACCCATGCATGCAACAACCAATAAACCCTAAACCCTAAACCCTAAACCCTAAACCCTAAACCCTAAACACTTTCTTCGTTCTATGGGAAGAAATGTGGGGACCAGCAAAAGACCCCCGAGGGTTTACCGCCAAGGGTTTTGTTGAGGGTTTAGGGTTTAGGGTTTAGGGTTTAAGGGTTTAATCTTGTAGCTGCAGCACAAGCCGCCTCTTGGGGCCTCCCCTCGAGGACTCTACTGCAGCAGAAGCAGCAGCAGCTGCTGCAGCTGCTGCAGCGAGAAGAGCTGCAGCAGCAACTGCTGCAGCAACGTTAGCAGCAGCAACAACAACGGCAGCAGCAGCAGCAACGTCACGAAG